ATGGAAAAAGTTGAGGACTTAGCATACGGAAAGTTCCCAAGGAGATTGTAAGTCTCCTATATACACTAGACCACAACTGTGCCCCAAATTAATTTGACACAGTAATTTCTGTAGATTATAAGTAAAATAAAAAACTGGATAACTGAATTTACTATTGGATTTAATAAACTTTAGAATTTGAATTACAACAACGAAATACAAAAAGGGAATATTGATAAAGACAAGATGTTGTGCGTTCGACAAGGGTCGCTACCCGAATGCTATTAGTAATGGCAACAACATTTGTTCCTCGTAACCAGCACATGCATACACATAAACAAGACATCTGAAATGTACGTAAACCTAGGAATTTCCCGTGGTCGAAACTACCGCCCGACCGGATGGAACCGGACAAAAGACTCATAAACCCTAGCCCGATCGGTCAATTTTATGACCTGCCTACGTGCAAAATGCGATGTTATAATTCTCAGAAAGCTGGTTACAAGAATCGAATGAATGCTGTCTTTTTCCTATACTAATACCGACTATTATTTGTCGGTTTATTTGAAATAACTTAAAATATATGAAAAAATATATAAATGAAATTATTGCGACAAACCAATAGCTCTACGTTTAGTCTGCCTCGCCAGGATAATGCTCCAATTTAAGCCACCGAGTAACGAACGGTGTATTGGAATTCCGGTATCCGAGTACAATAATTCTACAACACACCCTGCACCGCCAGCCATAACAGACTCAGGGCTATGCTGTACGAGAAATGTGGAAATTGAGGTTAAATTAAACACCTTTGAATGTATTAAATTTTTTATGCTATACAAGGAATTTCATTGCCGATTTGATGTATTTCATATATTCATTGAAATTTTTTTAAGCAAATTTTACACTATTTCTAAATCCTACAACAAAATCGTAGATATTACCCTCAAACACTAGATCTTCAGGTATTATTAAAGATTATATTACAGTTTTGTCCTTGGTATATCCTTTAGGAGTCATTTTAGTCTCAAACATATTTCACATGTCAGTGTTCTCAATCAATTTCCGGAATAAAAAATGAGGATTCCCATTGAAAATTTTTATATTGCTTTGATGCTTTGGGGTCCCCACTGTATGATTTTAAACTTTAAATTTCATTAAAAAATTGAAAATATTAAAAATTGTGGAGAGCTATCTAACCCTATGTATATTTTATGTTTATAATCCACAAATGTTCTGAACATCATTCGCTCTGATAGTAGGTCCTATATGATTACATTGACTTAGGGTACCCTGAAGAACAATTCGATGCCTCCAACCTCAAAATATCAGAAATATTACACATAAAAATGTAGTTAACTGACATAACTTACGTTAGAGCTGTTGTACCATTTAAATAGATGGATATCTACTTGCTGAACTGAATCCATGTGAACTTTGTTGAGCATATTGAATTCCGGTAAATGTAGCATTATACTACAGATGGCGTTTACCGTGCTATTTGTAGGATTTCATAAAACGCGCTGTGTTAAGGCAGCAGGTAGAGTTGGCCTGTGTTCTGTCGAAATTGTTTGCGACTCGCTGATGAGATCCAATAAGATCGTAATCGCGATCCGCGTCTGGCAGTTTCGACAGAATACTGACCAGTTCGAATTTTTTTGTTCGATTTTGGTAACGTGCCTATCACGTAGTGGTGAGCTACGCCGTGGATTCAGTTCAGCAAGTAAATAACCATCTATTTAAATGGAGTTTGTTGAGCATATTGAATTCTACTAAATGCAGCACTATACTACAGATGGCGTTTACCGCGCCATTTGTAGGATTTCATGTAGCCAGAAAGTTAGCAAGAAACTGTTGTTTACCGTGAGTCATTCTAATCATAAGTAAATCCAAAAATGTTTCAATAAGCCGCACAAATGTGACTTAAGATTCTCGTAGGAAACAGTTTCCTACACAATTTGAATTCACAAGGGACTTTTGACCGTGGGGAAACTAAGTAATGTTCTATGTGAGGGCTTAGCTTAAGAGGAAAAGCTAAGCAAAAAGTTTAAATGTATCACGACACTGTTTACGATTTGCATATCTTTAGAAAAGTCGGTGAAGTATAAATTTTCCCGTAGTCGTTACGGTACGATTTATATGGGACTGCGTCTTTTTAATACCGGAAGGTTTTACGATTTCCTTCGTATTTGGAACTCATCCAACTTAATACTTCAATTCCTATATTAAAGAGAATTTCTCCTTTGTTGCTACGGTAAACAGATAGGTACCCATAAAAAGGAGTTTATTACTAAGCTGATGTCTAAAAATAAGCGCAGCAATCTCGTCCTAAACTATTGCGAATTTCTTAGCAGGTGTACTAGTTTTGCACATCATCGGTAAAACAGAAAAATAATGATCAAAATTAGAGCTTTGCGTGATTATTATATTTCAACCATATTCTTAAACTACAGTTGCAAAAAGGTAATATTTGTAAATTAGAAGCTTATTGGTTATAATGGGTAATCTCTGAAACTAATCATCTTGTTAAATTTCACAGGCAGATATTCGAGAACTTACTATTGCAAGGGGAATATCTGCACACGCGTTAAATTGATAAGGCGTGTTGCTTAATTCTGGGGTGGAAGGTAGAATAATGTAATTCTTGCAGCGAAGTCGACTTATTAGGTATATATTTACAGAGTATCTCCAAACGAAAGATTAAGAATAACTGTACAAGTGCTACTTCAAGTGCTTGTTCTCATTCAAGTGCTTCGTTGGAAGTCCTTGGTCACTTCTTATATCTAAACTTAAAACTAGGAGCAAATGCCAAGGGTGTGGCGAATGTCACCATTGGTGATTAACCCTTTGAAACATTTTCGTGAATACTTACAAGACGGGCCTTTCAAACTCAAAATATTGCAAGAGAGGGATGTTCATAAAGGTGAAAAAGCTACATCAAAAAATCAACAAACGGCACTTTCTAACTGTTAAACCCATAAAATAAACACCCCATAATAAAAATGAAACTATATTGGGGTTCGCAAAGGATCCTTCCTGAACCGTTACCTCTATAAACTATTTAACCATTGAAATGATGTATCTAGACATCCTCGAAGGATCTACTATCAAATAAACACAACGCCGCCTTGTGAATTTGCAAAACATTCTAAAAATTTTATACAGGAACTTTATCACCTGCACCAAGAAGAGCGGGCTCTGAATACATCTTATTTCAAAAATTCGCCAATACTTAGAATGGACTTTCAGGTTTTTCCATAAGTTCGATCCAAATATCTCTGACTTTAAGTTGCATTTATCAGTTATTGTTGCTATCGTTATTTCTTTATCTTGTTTTATTTTCTTTATCCTCTCCGCATACCAAACAGAGGAGTCTAAAGTGGTGGCTCCGAGGTAATTCGAGTGTGAAACGGTACGATTGTTATTTAGCGTTAAAATTTGTTTTATTTTATATTGTTGTTTTTGGTGACTATGGCGCAACCCACTAATGAGCCTAGCATGTAAAGTGCACCACAGTCGGTACCTGGTCAGAGAAATTCTAAAATGACCTTCCTAATGTTTCATTGCGTCGATTCGGAACTGTGTTCTCCACAAATCGAGATAGATTTCGCGAGTGCCGGCATATCATCAAACATAAAAAAGTCCGAAACAACTCATAAAGGGTGTTCTTGAAACAAGAAGCAACCTTGAAGGAGGTGACAGGACACTATAAAATAAGAAAATTTAGTAAATGTTTATAGGTTCGAAAGTTCACCATTTTCAAGAAAAACGTGGTTGAAAATACAGGTAAATCTAATTCCGAGCCTTCAAAGAAATGCGACAATGCAACGCTACATTCAATTATCTAGTAACCTAGAGCATCACTGTTGTATTTCTTTTGAATTTTTTTTTGCTTATGTACTGTTTACTATTTGTTAGATTAGATCAAGAGTGATTCAAAATGTTTATGTTACAGTCAACTGGGGTTTTTTTCTTTTAATGTTGAAACCTTGATGTATATAGTAAGTCGATGGTAGGTCAGTTTGTCCCTGTTAAGGTAACGATCAAATTATATCTACAGTTATCGCAAGATACACCCTACACATACACGATGGGTTCTCTCATGTGACAGTGTGATAAATGCTAAAGGAGCAGTTGCTACATTCTTATCATTTACAGCAAATACAAGCCTCGTAGGAAACTGATACTCAGCTGCTAGTTCTCTTCGACGAGAAATTATTGCAGCGCCCAATTGTTTATGGATAAATGTTGTTTCAATAAATAATGACAGTAGGTATTGGTGTAACTGCCCAACTTCTTTGCTCGATTCATAAATAATATTGGTAGACGTCCCGTTGCCTGTCATTTAGAACGGCTTTCAAATTTGCTCACATGCTGAGGTGCATTTTACATAGTGCTACATACTATCAACAATGAAAAAATGTTGTTATTAATTCATTTATACCATTGTAGGCATCTAAATATTGTATGTAGGAGTAGT